CTCATTAAAGTTCTTCATCATTGAAAACCATTGTGTTATGCCTGCTGTTGAATTATTCATCTATTCATTTCCACTAATTTATTAAAAAAAATCTGCAGGGAATAATTACAGAGCAGCACCTGTAGCAGTGAGACAGTGCTGTCCAGTGGTACTGGCTGGACTGGGGGGACACTGTGAATAGTACCAGTTGCTCCTGGGCTGTACAGGGAGGTTGGATGAATAGGGTGAGGTGGATGTGGGCCGGGGGAGACAGCGCTATAGGCTGGAGGCACGGGAGCCATCTGCCTCTGCAGGAGCTGAAGGATAACGTTGATATCTGACGTCATACGTGTCTCCAGTCTGGAATGGACATATAAGGACATCATGTGACACACAGAAGTGACCTTGACTACATGGAGTTCGTCATAATCACTCAAACTCTTATGTACAGTTTCAGTACAAACACATTATGTTGTTATAATATGTTTACAATATGTTAATATTAATCATATGTTATACTATTGAACCCATTTGTGTAACAAGCTGCTGTCAAAGGACATTTAAACCTTTAGTTATTGGTCAACCAAACCCAGTGGAGCTGGCTCTTTTTTTTGGCTGCATGTGCTATTTCTAGACATGACCACTAGGATTCTCTGTCGCTCCCTTTTTTACTGTTAATGACAAGCATTCTCAATCATTTCATTTAAATATTAGATTTGTCCATGTCTTTGTCTCAGAAATCACCATCACAGAACAAGGAGTGGATTTACACAGAAACAAAAGGGACTCCTGAAAACTTTCACACCCCTTCATGCCCCCTCCCTCCCGCACCCTCTCCTTAGACAAACAGCTATTATCTGCTACAAAAGCTGCTAACTGTATTCACCTCCTAGTTGAGCAGATGGGGGTATAGCTCAGTGGTAGAGCATTTGACTGCAGATCAAGAGGTCCCCGGTTCAAATCCGGGTGCCCCCTCACTCCTTTTTATCCCTTCAGAACCACTCACTCACCGATTTAACTGTGACTGCAGCAGCTCCAGTCTGGATTCCAGCTCACTGGGCCGATCCTCTGCACACGGTGCCGGCAAGAAACGAGCCCTGACTGCTGACGTGTTTCTTGTTCCCTCTGAGAACTGACTGGCTCTGCGCTCTGGCCAGTAGCTGTACAGTCCTGTCATGCTGATAGGTGTAGCTGTTGTGCAGGAGGAGAGAATTTGGTTCAAGGACATCAACTGTTTAAATAGGACACACTAAGTTTGTATATTTTGGATTTAATAATAACTTACAGGTATTGGATGTGCTATTTTTACCATATTTTAACCATTTTAATCTATCTATCTATCTATCTATCTATCTATCTATCTATCTATCTATCTATCTAAAATCTAACTGTATATCATTTACCTGAGAATGGTGGTGCTCCGAGGTCTGCCGAGGGTCCAATCCCAGCAGAAGGTCCACTGTGGGGCAGCAGAGGATAATCTCTTGGGTCTCCTCCAATGTGGTACAGTTCCCCTTTGCTCTGTCCCACAGGCTTAATCTCCTCATCGCTTGACTGTGAACAGACACTGGCACTGCTACAGAGGTCTTCCCAGTTGGATCCTGCCGTCGAGGTATTTTGATGGTGGTTTAGTATCGGACAGGACTGATCGGGGTAAGAGGTGTCACAGTCCATCCCGTCTGTAGAAAGAAAGCACAATTAGAAAATAAGCCAAAAAAAAAGGATATCTAGTTTATATAGAGTCTACCCTCACTAACCTGGACGGTTGCGTTGCCACACAGAACTCCTCCGATGCCTTGCTCGTCGTCGATGTTCTGAGCTCCTGCCTGGAGTTGACTGGTTTATTCTATCTGCCTGATACAAATAAGTGTCAGTAATTCAAAAGTACAAACACTATCAAAAAAATAAATAAAACTGTCTCTCAAATCATATCGATGCATTTTTTCAGATAATATCCACAGATTTATAAAAGTATATAAAGGAACAGGGAGCTCTGTAAGGTTGACTATCTATTGTAACACAATGTCAAATGCTGCCCTCTAGTGGCACTAACATCTCTGAGGTTGAAGGTGATCTCTAAGTTGCTCCAGAATGTGTCCGAAAAGTCTGGATACATGTCCAGCACATCCAGAAGGTCGTCTCTCTGGATCTTGTGAAGGTCACAGTAGGTCAAAGCCCTGACGTCAGCGCTGGACTTTCCTGGTCTTCCATACGAGCTGATGGGTTCACCAAAGATGTCATTCTTTCCTAGGGAAGGAAGAAAGAGCAAACGTGATGAAGTGAAAAGTAATACTCAACAGTACTACAATACCAAAGCTCACATCGACGGTTCCCTCAAACCGAGCTGAAACCAAAATGACCTGTGCAGCTCAGACGAAAGTGCTGGCTGTATTGATGATCAATGCTGATGTGGAATGGAAGTGGAGCTTTGCCCAAACACCTCTGGCAACATGACGCAACACAGAAATATTGCAGTGAAACAGGTCTGGGTTGGAGCTGTGGCTTGAGGGAAAATGTGAATCAATAAAATCATGAAAAACTCTATAATTATTACTATTATAATTATTATTAATACATATATATATATATATATATACATGTATATTCTTTTGTATATAGCCTGAATGTATAAAGTTAGTTAAAAGCTGTTAAGTCCACTCGACCCTTACCCAGTATGGCCACTACCACATCATCTCTGAGGATCTCTATGGAGCCTCTGGAGATGAAGTAGACAGCAGTGAGGATGTCCCCATTGTGGACAAGGGTGTCCCCTGGAGGAGCGTGGGTGGTCTTAAATCTCACGGCCAGAGCTCTTAAGCAGCCCTTGCTGGCTCCTTGAAAAGCTTTGCAGTTCTGGAACAAACTGCGGTTCAAATGGAGGCAGATGTCGGCCTGCAGACACTCGGGGAATCCCTTCAGAACCTGCAGGGCCACAGAGGGTCAGGTCCAATCATTTTTATCCGTTACGCTATCTTATCTCTTAGCTTAAACAATTGTGTAATATTAAATTAAATAAGCAGCCCTGAATGATGCTATTTCAATGTGTCTTGATGTTGATACAAATATGATTTTTCATCATTTCAACCAGTAGAAAATGTACCAGTCCATGAGCTACATTATAAAAGTAGGTCTGTGAACATTTTGTGACAATCGGCAACCGTGTTTTTCTTCCCGACAACTCACCGCGTTCATGTCAATGCCATTGGTGTAGGACCAGGCGTGTTGAAAATATTCTTCCAGCCTCTGTCTCAGGCCTCCTGGGATCTGATGGAAACGTATGAACTCTTTGACTCGCAGCATCTGGGTGTGATATCGAGCTGTACCAGAGTAGAGTCTCTGAATGATGGCTGACACGTTACCAAAGATACTGGCGTACATCAGAGCTGTGTGAGACAGTGGACAGTTTCTATTAGGGCCTCATCTTTAGTGACTGATCGAGTTTCATTCAAGAAGAACTTAGTGGGAAAAAATGAACACATTTGGTCTGACGTCCAACATGTTTTTTTCAGCCATTCCAAAGCCCAACTGGTACAATGATGTAATAAGAGATCAGGGCAATGCACCAGGTCCAGATCTAACAGAATGTACTGTATTTATTACATACAAAAAGACGTGGGGTTTAAAGAGTCTACTCACAGCCAATGAGCATGACACAGATGGAGAAGATCTTCTCTGGGTTGGTGTTGGGCGACACATTTCCAAAGCCCACACTGGTCAGACTGCTGAAGGTGAAGTACAGAGCAGTGACATACTTGTCCTTGGTGGATGGACCGGAGGCTGCGTCGCTGTCGTTGTAATGTTTACCGATCTGGTCGGCCAGGTTGTCCAGCCAGCCAATCTTCATGTCTCCGGTGTGCACAGTGCCGGTGCGCTCCACATTGCCAATAGCGTACCAGATGCAGGCCAGCCAGTGGGCAATGAGGGCGAAGGTGCACATGAGTAGGAGGAGGACAGCAGCTCCGTACTCAGAGTAGCGGTCCAACTTTCTGGCTACTCGCACCAACCTCAGCAGTCTGGCAGTTTTCAGTAGGCCAATCAGTGTGGTTGTCTGGGGCTGGAGGACACAAGAGGAGACTGTGGTTAAATTAAATAAATAACTTGTGTGCTTGACTGGATTGTCTGAATAAAAAATGTAAAATTTGCATTAATGACAAATACATTAGTATCTGTTTGGGATTTTCAAAAAAAATCAAGGATGCTCTGTGAAGGCAGACAACGGAAAAAAGCACTTGCTGACGGTCCCTTACCTCTTCTGACCCGGAGCGAAATATGAGCAGATCAAAAGGAATCGCAGCAACAATGTCAATGAGGAACCAGCCCTTGAAGTAGTGTTGTGCGATGCGTCCCGGGTGGCTGACCACCTCGTCATTGTGGTTGACGTAGGTGGTCCTGAAGTTGATGAGGATGTCTATGATGAACATGACGTCCACCACCAGGTCCACCACGTTCAGAGGGTTGCAGGTGTAGCCGCAGGTTCTCCTGCGCTGCTCCTCCACCTCGTTGAGAAGAAAGGCAGCCGAGTACGGCGTGAAGATGGCGGTGTAAATGACCAGCAGCAGGATGACCCAGTCCCACACCGCTTTGAACGGGCTGTAGTGAAGGATGGTCCATTTGTGGATACGTGGAGCCTGAAGTTTGTACTCGGGCAGCACGTCAGCGCCCAGGGACAACACCTGGAGTTCAAAGACAGAGCTGATGGCTGTTTCTCAACTTAGCACATTGGTATTTAAGCATGAGCCAACAACACATTCCTTTGTTGACACAACGAGCAGAACGCAGAAAAATGAACGTCATTTAACAGCAGGGAATAAGACAAATAGTACAACAGCAGAATAAACAAATAAAGCCGTTACAGAAGCTGTGGTTTCTGAGTATCATTTATGAAATCACAGCCTTGTTATACTATGACTGAAGTGAACACACTGCAGTGTTTTTGTGGACTGACCCTGACGACGTCAGAGAAGGTTCAAGGTTTTATCTGTCTCTGTAGTCACATACATTTGATGGCACACTCTGAGAGAAAAACAATAAATATAAAATTCTGTGAAAGGAAAGCACAAAAAATAATCAATCTGTATAGTAAAATATGTGAACTACATGGTTAAACAATGAATTCAAGCAATACTATATAATACTAAAAATACACAAAAGGAAATTTCCAGCATGAATGAACTTCAATTAGTTTTTTTCTTTGCGCCCAGTTTAAGCCTAACCACACAGTGAAATGTACCTTTTTTTCTCAGGCTGATTCATTCATGACAAAGGAAACAACCACACTTTTTTTTTAGAATTCTTTTTAGGTTTTTAGAATACGTAAAATAGTAACAACTGCAAACAGTAAAACCTTGTAACTCAGAATCAGATATTAGGAATATTGATGCAGATATTACCAATAAACTAATTACTAATAACTAGCCTCAGATTGATATAATTAGTACTCTATTAGTACTCTATTAGCACAAAAAAGCTAATTGCAGAAATATCTGACACTGACCGGTAAAACGATAAAAGCTTCAAAGTCCAGGTTATCGTGTCGGTGTCGACAACGTTGACAGGGGAGGAGACTCCTCCAATCCCGCTTCCTTTCCATCACTTTCTCTAGTATAAAAAGTTAGCGGCTCTGTCCAAGCGTGTCCACATGTCCTGTCTGTGTGTCCAGTGGATACTTAGCCTAAACTGCAGCCTCACCTGCCCCAGCGTCACCATGTCACCCCCCTGGTTGATGCAGACCACATGAGTTGTGGTCAATGGTGGACCAAATAAGTGCTGCCATTGATTTCACACGATATCTAGATGAGTGGGTTTTAGTTCATTTGGTCAATGTCAGAGTCTGGACTTTTTGTGAATGGTCATTGGTAGTGTGAAAATATTCTCACACAATTACACACTATTAAATGTAGCAACAAGTGCAGTTTTATCTACTGTCGAAGATCAGATCAATACAAGAACAAGGGAAAAGGACAGTGAGCAGTAAAGACAAAGTCAGGACTCAGGAGTCCTAACTGAGACCGTCTGCTGCTGTCCCGGTCAGGGTGAACGTTGTGTATCGACAGGGTCACTGACATATTTGGAGTTGAGAGATTTATTGCGTTCTTCAGATCCAGCAGCCCGAGTGTTGCTGTTGTGCACAAGTACCTGACGACAGCAGGGCAACAGATGTGAAAAGACAACAAAAATGTAAACACATCAGCGAAGGTTCATCCAAGAAATTCTGAGGTGTTGACACTGTCCACGGCTCTGTTCCTAATGCCTTACAAAAAGACGGCGGTTTAACTCGCACCAGAGCTAACTGATGCTATATTCTGAATTTATAGATATATATTACAGTATAATCCAGCGTTGTTGGGTTGATAAATTATAAATAATTATGCTTTATCTGAAAGAGCCAAAGAAAAAAATTATATTTAATTTGATAAAGAAAATTGTAAACATTTTCACTTGTCACCTCTGTCAATTTGTCTTCGTCTTTCCTCCTGCTCCCTAAACCTCTCCCCTGACCAGAGCCCAGCCCCTGACATAGTATCTGCAGAAATGCATCATCAGATTAAAAAAAAAAAATCCGAACATTGTTACCAACTATATTTCTGTTTTTGTGACGTTATGGCTATTTATATTCTTAAATTATAATGTAAATAACACACGTGGGGTCACGACTCCAAGCCAGACTAACAAAACAATAACTAAAGTGATATAATATATATAATACAGCAACTTCCTTTTTATAAGATTTACATTAATCACTGGGATTCACACCAAGTGTTTTCTTCTCACCACGCATCAGGTTTCTACAGTATATGTAGCTTCTATAAACCGACATGTCTCCAAAATGTGATAAAAACCACACACACACACACACACACACACACACACTCGACTCCCAGCTCAAATCAACTAGAGAGAATTTATCACAGCCTTGATTTTCCTTTTGTTGGTGCCATTTAAAAACTGATTTAAAAGTCAGGATTCAACGACTGTCTTATATAAGCATGGAGAATTCCACTGACACTGACCTTTCGTCAATTTGTTTTAATGAAAGACCTCTTTGCTTTTGTGCTTTTGTGACCTGTCCCACATGGCAACTGCAATCATTTCTGTGACCTTTAACCTGAAGTGCAGAACGTCAGACCCACGGTCAGATCTTTTACCAGGTCTAAGAAAGTCAAACTAACTCCCGTATGAGAACAACCAGCTGGGAAAGGGAATTCAAATGTCTGACAGATGCAGATAGGCTGCCTGCCCGCCTGCGTGCTGTCCTCCACCTCCATTAGCCCCAGTGGCCAAGGTCACATGCAGTGTGAGTACAGCTCAATACTACTGTGACTGCTGCTGGGCCTTTTTTTGTATTCAGTTTCATAACTGCATCCCTTCACTCAGCTCCGCGGTCTTTTGCACTGCGGCTCTCACATAACGCATTCATCAAATCCACTGACTTTAAAGATTAAAGACCACATAAATCACAACATGTAACCCTTTATTTTACATGGATCCTTTAGAGGTTTTAAAAGCATCCAGAGCAAATGATTCCAGTAAACTAACTAAAACAAATGTTGTAATTTCTCTAAACTAGATCTGTGTGAAGTAGGAAAAGTTGACAAGTGATTATAAAACATGTGGATAAAAGTAGAATCTTTCCTCGTCATAAAAACGTATTTGAGTATTGGAGCTGGGTTATTTGGATTAGGAATGTAATTGCCTGTAGTTGGTTATTAGTATGCCAGTGACAGTTTGCCCTTTCAACAAAGACATTTAAAAAGTCCCACTGTGGCAGACAAACACTTCACTACAAAGGCATCAATGAGGAGCACTCACTCTTTGTCTCTGACGTCATCAGAGTCAGAGCGGCGAGCGGAGTGCACTCCCGGGCCTGTCAGGAGGCCTCCTGTTCACCCCTATCACTTTGCTCCAGGGACACAGAAGCCACGCTGCCTCCACATAATTGTACACTGACTCACAGCCGGCTGCTGGTATCAGTCTGCCTGCTGGTGTAGGGAGGTGAGGTCTCACCACCACACAAGGCATCATACGGTAGCAGCGGTGTGGAAAAAATACAAGCCAACACAGAAGCCACTTGTAATACGTTCGCACATTTTCTCTGTTGTTAAGGGTACAGTACTGTATATCGCTACTTTATCTTTGACTGGAGGCAGTGGGAATGTACTTGACACAGTAATGTCAAAGTAAATTATTACAAATCAAGTCTGAGGCAGGAAGGTAATACAACCACAGCGTCATTGTGCTAATAAAACAAGACATCCATCAACAGTTTGGAAGAAATTCACCCTGGAGAACAATACCCAGTTCTCTACTCTATTTTGTTATATATAATAATATTTTTTTAAACATATATTTTCATTTTCTATAAATGCATTTGAGGTAGTGTATGGTCATCTGCATATTTTATCAAATTTTATAGAGGTATAATATATTATATTTTTGTTTGCTCTCCAACCTAAGTTTGTGTCAAAATGTCTCCATGACATTCAAACCCACAGCTGCTCTACTCTATGTTTTGTAAAGTTCCTGTTCAAAGACATGTATTCATGATGAAGTACTTTAAGAAGGTGACACTGGCAGGCACATTAGGAAAAAAAACCCAGCAGTCTGAATAGAATGTCTTTATAAAGACACCGTACATCGTTAGCACTTCAGTATTTTTCCACCCAGCTCTTCTTCCTCTGTTATGTGTGAGCTACATTGTGCACAGACCCAGCGTGGTGTGATGACAGGAGGCTGATGAGTGTGTGTTTTGCTGCCGGTGCCGTGGATGTCGCACCTCGGCTGAGACCAATCTTTCACACTTTCACCTTGTGACTGTAAGTGTTTCTCTTCGTCTTTGCCGAAGACGAATCAAACGACACTAACAGATTTCGGTCTGAAACTGTCGTCTGTCGGCAGAGACACTGACCTGGTCTGACACTGACAACTGTAAGTGAAGGCCGTGGAGACGACGTTGGTGAAAACATGATTCCAAGGACAACAGTTGACAGACTTAGTGACACTTATGTATCTTACAGTCGTATCCAAAAGCTACTATTAGCTCCATTAGCTCACCATATCAGTAGCTTTTAGCTGTTTTTGAGAAACCTCATCTTTTTTTTGTGGCCAAACATATGGGGCATCCTGTACTATATCGTTGGTACAGGTATTTCTAGCACCCAGAGCAAGAAATAACTAACCGGACCAACTATTAGCCTTCTTTTTTTTTAAGGCTCTATTACCTTTTTTGCTTTGATTCTGATTTGATATTATCACATTTCAAGATAGATAAAGTACCACTATCGTAAGTTAGGTCAAATGTATATGCATAACTTCTTAAAATTAGAACCATTTGTAGGAAACAATTTTTTTTCAATAGTTCTGCAGGTGTAGAGGTATAAAATATTCACATTTAATTAAGAAACCCACTCTGCACTGGACCATTTCCATTCCACACCTTCAGTCATTAATTCATAGGCTAGGGCTAACTCTGTTTTCCCTCAAGGAAAAAGAGAGATTAATTATGTGTCTTTTTCATTGACATAACAAAGGACATGTATTACCTGTGTGACATGAGTGACCTTCTCGGTGACGTTCTGGGTGCGATCCTTTATCTTGCTTGGCGCGATGATCTCGATCTCTGTGGGCGAAGGAGGTCTCATCCGATCGGAGCCAAAGGTCAGGGTTACCTGAGGGATTCGGCCGATGGTTCGGTGTCGGATCAGATCAGAGTCTGATGTGGAGTTCAGGGCACTGGGCTTCAAATCTGCAGCACAAAAGAGGATGTGATGAGAATTTTTTATATTTAGGGCCTGACCTTGAAATTTACCAACAGTGAAAGATAAAAAGGGGAAACATTCTGGAATATGTTTGTTAATATAATAAGTTAGATTATATCTAAATAGGCCTTGTGAATGGTTATGCTAATTAAAAACATACATATATAAATATATACATATAAAGATATACATATATATAAACAGTATATACAATAATGTTTATCAAATTCAAAAATGAATAATCAAAATAAGTTGATCAGTTTTGTGTAAATACTAAATAGTGGAGAAGGCCTCTATGTGGGGGTATAGCTCAGTGGTAGAGCATTTGACTGCAGATCAAGAGGTCTCTTGTTCAAATCCAGGTGCCCCCTGAACTTTTGTCCTCTCTGTCCGTTGTGGACATCATTATAATGTCCTCAAATTCTAGGAACTGATCAATCATGCACATAAAACATCTGATCTCAGGCATAAAGTCAACGCCGGATGAATCTACGGTAAAGTACCTACAACATGGACAACAAAGACACAGAGGTGGGTTTTAATATGTACCATTATGTTGGAAATGAAAGACAACGGAGCAGACAGTCTGAGAGTGAGGAGTATGACCAGAATCAGGTATGGGTTGTGATGAAAAAGAAGAAAAAATAAAAAAGAATATTTCCCTCAAGAGATGAAAGCAGACAGATCAGCAGTGAGATAAAAAACAAAACCTTGACACACACAACCACACACACGCACACACACTCACAACCACACATGGTGACAGTGGAATTGATTAGTGCCTCTCTGCTGGATCAGCCATCAGGCAGCTGCTCACGCTCACAGTGACACACTGGGTGTTATGAAAATCAGAGGAAGGAGTTCAGTTGATTTCTTCTCCCGTATCTCATACACGACTTTAGATTTTTTTTTTTTAATTTGTCATCAAATATATGACAACAAAACATCTAACGACTCTGTACAGCAGTAAAAACGATGAGTCACATCAAGGACATTAAAGTGCAGGTAAAATGCTCTATTTAAATACACAGTACCATTTAATACATGGACGTCATCGTGTCTTTTATGGATGTTACTGTGTTGGTGGAGCTCTGCTGCAGTGAACATTATCTTTCTTCAATCATTGTGTGTCAGAACTTCTATCATGTCAAAATACCCCAGGGTTCATCTGCTCTTCCACTCTACTCCAGGGATGTGTTTCACATCAAGGATCCACAAACTGATGGCGAGATGAATCAGGAGCCGCCTACTACAGTGTACATGGTAGAAAATTGTGTTTTTGTGGTTTAATTTTAAAACTAAAGAAATGAAAAAATACATAAAATCCATATAAAATCTGAGCCATGAAACATTAGGACTTTCTTTGCAGAGAAAAGTTTAAATCCAGTTCGATGCTGTTCACATAATGATGTAAAAACATCAGTTTCATACTCCTGTCAATCCAATAGATATTTATATTGTTACTGTACAAGTTACTTTTACAAGTTTTGTGGAAATATACTCGCAAACACTCACTGCTGTTGATTCGAGGGTCTCCAGGTCGACTGTTCCATTCCGCCCTCATGCCATCGATGTCGTCCAGAGACGAGGCCCGGCGTAGGCTGCGGACACTGTCTCGGGAACAGCTGCGAGGTAGACTTCCCCGTGGGAAGGCGATTCCGGGGTCGAGCCGATCTGTCAGTAGGGAGCAGCGCTTGGTGGACGACTGAGCTGCAGGTGAAGGAGGATCCAGGTCCTGTTCTATCAGAGCCTCCGTCTCAGACTGCATACAGCTCTCCTTGGACGGGATCCGGAACTCTTTCAAGGGAACGTCCTCACTGTTCGGCTGCGGAGGAAAGAAACAAAGGACACATTAAGGACAGGTGAGATTGGATTTTAGTGTTTAAGAAATTGTTTCCCAAAGACTGGGTTGCAGCCTTAAATTGGGTCGCAAGAGATTTATTTTTGGGTCGTCTTGCATCATGTTTCCCAGGAGTTTACGTATAATGTCTATTGACTTGGGTCGCAAAGGTTTGTGATTTTTAAAATATGAGTCCCCAGAAAAAAAGTTTGGGAAACACTGGTCTAAGAATTAGAAAAATTCTTTGTCAGCACATACTGTAAGAAAAATTAGTTACTCAATGTTAAATGTTTAGAGCTGGGCTGTCAAAGGTACGGCCCACGGGCAAAAAAACGGACGTCCAACCTCCACACAGAAGTACCAGAGATCAAGGGAGCATGAGTTAGCTGTAAAAACAATTGTCTGAAATCCAGAAGAAACCATTTCCAAAGAAATCTAAATAAATAAAATAAAAAGTATGACAGTTGTGTGTGTGCGTAAGTATAGTACAAGGGTCGGTGTATTCACCGCCTTACCTGCAGGTAGTCCACCACCACGCCTTCAAACTGGTCTTTGGACAGTGATGGACGTCTCATGGAGCGCAACATAGGGAGCCTCATCTTCAACCTGCGATTCTGACCTGAGGAGGAAACTCTGTGTTCAGCTCAGCTGTTATTAAACCTCCCACACAGGAGGGAATATGAATAATGCTCACATGTAATTGCTTTTATATTAGAAAAATGTGTTGGAGGACATTTGGACGGGATGATAATTATTTTTTCATTATATCAACCGAAGTTTTTTTGATTTTGTTTTAAAGAAATCCCAACTTAAAATATGGACTTGCTGTTCATGACTAGAACTGAGACTGAATAAGGATTGTTGGGTGATTTACAGTAGATCCATCCTTGGGTGACTCTCTGCCTGAGGGCAGATTTCTTGAGTGTCGGATCAATCAGTTCCTGGAAGTCAAGGATGTACATAATGACGAGACCTTCCTCGTTTTTCACAGGGATGACGTCCACCAGGCAGGGTCTGCAGGTGCCTGTGGGTACAAGCAGACAGAAAACAACAAATGAGAAGGGGGCACCCAGAATTGAACCAGGGACCTCTTGATCTGCAGTCAAATGCTCTACCACTGAGCTACACCCCCCACACGAGGTCTCGACAATGATAATCATTCATCACAGGAAGAAATTTTTTTGAGCATGACATCTAAGGACAAGGGAGACAAACTGCTAACACTGCTAAATACTGATAATGCAACATGTAACGCAAATACTATGATTACTACAGTATGCGGTACTGTGGTATTGTGAGGAATACCTGTGGAAAAGATGTAATTTTAAAAACTAACCTCAACATACATTTACTAATACATTTGATCACAAATATCACAAATATTGTCGAAGTCGATGAAAGACCCTGCATTACAGGAGACATAAAATAAAGTGACAAAAGTAGGTGATTTAGGTACAAGTTTTAATACAGTCAGCTTCCTGTTGGGTTTACATGTCAAATGTGGAAATGAGATTGTTCTAAATAGGCTAAAAAACTGTTTTAGGGATAAGTTATTTTTAGTCTTCGCAAGAACATTGTTCTTATCAAGGACACAAGGCTGGTGTTCAAATGTGCACATTTGAACACCAGCCATTATATGCAAAATGAATAAGGTGAAGGGCAGACAGACGGACGGGTGGACGGACGGATAACTGGGTGAGAAGGACTTTGAAGGTAAAGAGACAGGACAGTAGGAAAGGCTAAATGAGCAACACTTCTGTCAGGTCTAACTTCACACCGCAATCAGTGTGATCTAAAAATAGGAAGGGGGATAGGGCAGATCACACACATACACACACACACACACACACAAATATGTTCTCCATCTACTCAGTCTGGGTCCCATCAGTCATTAGCATTAATGTTTATCTTAAACTCTGAGAGGAATGAAGTCTGAAGGTAAAGAATATAAATCTATTCTCTGAGAAAAAACATGTTCTCTGTCTTTGCATCACAGCATTTTTTTTTTGTCCGTGTACAGACGGGGAGCACAGTGGGACGCGAGAAACAAACAAACAAGATGCTTAGTAGATCTGAGGCGCTGATCACATTTCCATGACAACAGCACTCTGGGCTGAAACTCCTCATGCCCAAGTGGCCACAGACACAAAGTACACACACACGTGTGGTGACAGCCTTTGTCCAGTGATTGTGCATCAGCCTCAGATGACAGGTGGATGACAACGTTGACACACAGACCTTCATGCAGGTCAATGTATCTCAACGAAGGCAGGGATCAGAAGCAAGAGTTGACAGGGGAAAATACCAGACGAATGCCACAGTTTGAACCACAGTTCATGTTTTTAACTGCCTCTTTCCATCCTTTTCACAATAAAAGTATAAGGAGAAGAAGAAGAAGACAAGTGGAGGAGTGTGGACTGGGAGGGCACTATGTTCAGCTGTCATGTCACATATTAATATCAGTGAGAGTGAAAGAGCACGCTCACAGCATGGTAGCTGGACCTGCTATGACACGACTTTATTGTCCAGGACAGACACGTTTTTAAAAGCCAAGCGTCGGTGCCCCCCAAGCAACACAACGTGTCACCACATTTGTAAGGTTAAGACGGTGTGGGCGCGCTCAGGAGAGACTGTGAATATAACGGATGAAGATGGAACACTGGCCACAGGAAAGACAAAGATGAGTCAAAAAAAAGAAAAACAACAGGAAGTAGGTCGTCTAACATCATGTAAACTTACTTTCGTTTATTCACTGGCTTTTTCCACTGTTTGCAAAATATGTTTTTCAGTGTTTTTCCACTCTGAATGTGGTCCTACTGATTAATATAAAATAGTGACCACAATAAAACACTCTGACGTAAATGTGAATTACCAAGTGCCACGATTATAAAGAAAAAAACAACTCAGCTCTTACATCAGCCTCCCGCTGAGCAGTGACCACTGTGTTTCGCTCTATAAAGGTTCAGCCGTCACGCTGTCAGAACATTAATTTATTAACATGTGCAGTTCAATTTGCCTGTCTGTGCAAAAACAGGTTTTAAACTATTTTCTTGATGATTTACCACCCAAACAGGCTGCCACAGGGGGCGCCATTAAATATGCGTTTCCTCTGGGACTTGAACCCAGGACCTTCTGCATGTAAGGCAGGTATGACAACCACAGCTGGTTTTTAATAATAGTTTAAACTATATATAACTGGTCTCTTACCTTCTTTAGCGTAGTACAGGATCTCCACCTTGTGCTCCTCGGAGCCCAGCAGGGCCTGTGCTAGCTGAGTCAGGGCGCTCTTCATGGTGCCGGGCCCCACCAAAAACTGGCAGGTGCAGGGCTGCTGCATGATCTCTGCCCTGGTGAAACCAAACATCTGACAGAAGCCTTCGTTGCAGTAGATGATGCCACAGTTTTTCATCTGCGCGTTGGCTATCAGGAATTTGCGATCTGAGGAGAAATGGGAGCTCACTGTCATATGTCAGCCTAAGAATGAAAAGGAATCAAAATGGTGACGGCCTTAAAGCTGAGAGGAAAAGAAAAATGCTTTCAGTGTAACGGTTTGTTTTGTCTTAGTGCTAAATGTCAAACTAGCTCTCTGTGTCACACAGGAACTGTCAGAATTCTCCATCATGTCAAAAATGCACCAGGGCTTTAACTACTAAATGCCAGACAATCAAAAAAAATGTTATAGGAGTCCAAAGAGGGTACACAGAGAGAGAAGCTAAAATGTAGCTTGAAAAATAGGAAATGAAAGAGCCCCAAATAAAAAAAAAATATGCCTGAAGCCAAAAGAAGCCTAAAGAAGAGGAAGACCTCAGTGGAGTTTTGTAGATGTTGTAAAAGAGAACATGGAGATGGTTGGAGTAGAAGTAGAGGAGGAGAAGAAGAAGAAGAAGAAGAAGAACACACACTCAAACACTAGGACTGAAGGATATCTTCCTCCTAACAGACGAGGCATTACACTGTGATAAACACCTCTTCCTCGGCCGCCCCGACAATCAGCCTGAGTGGAAGTAATGAAGTCCACTTGCCCGCGCTGCTAATGTTATTAGTGTGGCAGGTTCTCCTGAGGGGCTGCGAAGGAGCAGGTGGGCACTTTAATAAAGGAGCTTCTTCTGCCTTCACACCTGCTCCCACCGCACAGAGACAAGAGTTTACACGGGTGGACATCTGGACAACTGTCAGGAGTAATCTTCACTTTATGAAATTGCTGTTATTGTTGTATTTATTATTTACCTTTTTATATGAAACACTTTGTATGTCAGTGACAGAATACTGAAATATCAACGTAAGGTTACACCAAAACCCAAATTTGACTACCACTGCTGTGTCTCTGGATAAAGGGACAGGGTGAACGCTATTTGTCTTTATTGTTTTTAAATTAAGAGAAAATTGTCTTGCGAGGCCTAGCACTGGGTAGTGACTGATGGACAATTGTCCTGAGCCTCTGTCTGGATGTTCCTTTATCACCCTGATAACGCAGACCTCTCAGACTGTTACCTCTCAGACTGTTACCTCTCAGGCTGTTACCTCTCAGACTGTTACCTCTCAGACTCATCAGTTATTTTTCTGCTCATTATTATGTTTCTGTTCTCGTTGTATTTTAAACACTCACGTGAGAACTGCACAGTGGTGGCTGATACATGGGTTCTCTGCAGGTCAGCTGTGCTCTCTGTTGTTTCTTGCCACCAACTCCTGACCCTCCCCATTCTGGGGTCAACTTCCTCCAATTACATCCCATCCATGCGGGAAACAGAGGTTGTTAGTGATTTTAGAGCTCAGAGCTCAGGTGTTGCGGCGCCACAGGCTGTTGCACCTTTAATGATGAGTGTCTTGGTTCTCGGCTCAGGAAGAGAAACTAGAATCTCTGCAGAGATTTTTCTGTGAAAATGTTGTTACTTTTGTTGTGTCTACTGTACCCACTAACATCATTAGGACATTTTTTAGCTATTTTTGTTATGTATTTATATTGTTAAGCACATTCTGTGTCATTTTCTAGTTATGTTTGCTACCTTTTAGCTATTTTGGTGTGCTATTTAGCCTGTCCACAGCTAATATTGAATCAAATTTGATTTAATTTTTTTTTCAACTTTAGCTATTAGACATTCTAGCCTTATGTTAGACTTTATTTTAGTAAGACACTAAGCTTTCAGCTAATGCTATCGGCTTTAAATAAAAAACACTTAGCAAACTGAAAGCCATGTATTTTGGAGTAATGTTTTAACATTGTCCTAAATACTTTCTGGGCCTAAAATTGCACAGTGGTATAAACTATGAAATCACATCACAACTTAATGTCACTGATGCCCAAATAATGAAGCGATTCGACACCACAGGGGAAAGAGCCATCCCCAAAAAACTTCACCATGAAACAAGAACCAGTTTGCACCAATGGAGAAGTTCAAACCACCGAATTAGAAGAACCGAAATAAGCTCAGTTGACTCGGACTCACCCGTCTTTTAACACAGCTAAGGAAGTGGGTTAAACAGCTCCTACTGAGCAGAGGAGGGGGCTTGTCCCTCACCCCTCGTCTCCTTCAGTATAAATGGGTGAGCTCCTCTGGTGAAACGCAGCACATCCTGTCCAAAGTCATTATCTGGAGCTCACGGCACAAACCCCCATCGTCACACCGTTGCTAAGCAGCACCGCTGTGGCACGTGCACTCACCTGGCCTTAAGGACACGCACGTGCACACACACATTTGGGGACTGACATGTACAGTAGTGGCACGACATAATGGATCCTCTACAAAGGAGTATCACAGATCCGCTGCTGATTGGATCTGAGAGATTTCCTTTCTCTGAGTGCACTGGCCTTTTCAGCCGGTGGAACATGTGAGCTAACGGAACAGATTGGTAGGTGTTAGGTGAGCAACGGCCAACACATGAGCAGGTGTGTTGGTCCCTTGAAGAAGCAACAGCAGGCTGTCCTGTTAGAAATGAGACTAAAACTGTCAATGGAAAATCAACCTGTGGTCGGAGTCTGCAGAGTAATCAGTCTGGAGTTTCAGCTCTGTTAGAATCAGTAACACTTATATATATATATTATCACTGAAGTTAATATTATGATCCTCCTTCAGACGGTCCATGAACTGACTAAAAATAACAATCAAGTCACAATTGGGTTTCAAAATTATAATTTATATATAAAATGAATTCAACTTGCATAAGCTGAAAAAGTAAAAATTAAAGGAAAAAATAGAGGCAGTATGTTTCCAAGAAAGAATGTCAGTAGTGAATTATACTGAAAGTTAAAGAATACATTATTTGCAATACTTCATTCATAAGTTTGAACCTGAATCCAACCTCATATAAACTCACCTTGAGACACAGAGACTGAAATTTGGTGGCAATGACTTTGACTTTTTTGTGATTTAATGTAAAAATAAATAAATATTTGAAATAATAGAGTGAGAAAAGATCATTTCTCTGGAACCAGCACTGATGACTCTGGTTGTTGTGCGTGGCTTCTCTGATGTCAGAGTGATGGATTTCATTTCACTTACTTTGTTCGTCGAATTTCTTGATGATTGTGTCCAAGTAAGTGTTCTGGAGCGCGACATGACCGCGTCTGACAGGCATCCTGCTGCCGCCGCCGCTGCTGCTGCCGCCGCCGCTGGCGCTGACGCCGCTCGTGCC